CTCCGGCAACATCGGTCAGACTGTCCTGCCCTCCATGGCCGGTGACGACTGATCCACCAAATGAGGAGGAAGTCCGCAAGGAACTCCAACTCTTGAAGCGTTACAAATCACCTGGCCCAGATGACTTACCTCCGGCTCTTTTTAAAGATGGTGGTGACTTTTTGACTAAGGAATTGACGACGTTGTTTACAAAGGTTTGGGAACTAGAGAGTGTACCAACGTCATGGAATGAGTCGATAGTTGTCCCTATCTTTAAAAAGGGTTCACGTCGTTCCTGTAACAACTATCGGGGGATAAGTCTACTTCCGATTGCGTCCAAGCTATTGGCTTCCGTCATACTTCGTAGGTTGTTCAAAACCCGAGAAAGATTGACTCGCGAGGAGCAGGCTGGGTTTCGTTCTGGTCGAGGATGTATTGATCATATCTTCACCCTCCGCCAAATGTTAGAACACCGCCATACTTTCAAAGGCCAACAATCGTAGTGTTTCTTGACATCAGGGCTGCCTTCGATTCGTTGGATAGGACTGTTCTCTGGGATTGTCTATTGAAGAAGGGTGTGCCTGAGAAGTTTATTAACATCCTAAAAGCCCTATATAAAAACACCTCAGGCAGAGTGAGGGCATACAACCACCTCTCTCCATTGTTCCATTCGAGCAGTGGGGTTAGGCAGGGTTGCCCAATCTCACCATTCCTCTTCAACTTTGCCATCGATGACATTCTGGAAACAGCTCTGATGAATGTAAGTAATGGTGGTGTGGATCTGTTGCCTGGAGAAAGACTTCTCGACCTTGAGTATGCGGACGATATTGTCTTACTGTGCGATAATGCCCAAGGCATGCAATCCGCACTTAATCAGTTGGCAATCAGTGTCCGTAGGTATGGTATGTGCTTTGCACCTTCGAAGTGCAAAGTACTTCTACAAGACTGGCAGGATTCCAATCCTGTACTCACCCTGGATGGTGAGCAGATAGACGTAGTCGAGAAGTTCGTGTATCTGGGTAGCTGCATAAGTGCTGGTGGGGGTGTGAGTGATGAGATCAATGCACGAATAGTGAAAGCCAGAGCGGCTTATGCCAATCTGGGCCACCTTTGGCGCCTTCGTGATGTTAGTCTGGCTGTAAAAGGTCGGATCTACAACGCGTCGGTGAGAGCAGTTTTGCTCTATGCTTGTGAAACCTGGCCTCTCCGAGTTGAGGACGTTAGACGACTCTCTGTGTTCGATCATCGCTGTCTCCGAAGGATTGCTGACATTCAGTGGCAACACCATGTCAGTAATGCAGAGGTTCGGCATCGTGTGTTCGGGCACAGAGATGATAATGCAATTGGTGTCACCATCTTGAAACACCGACTTCGGTGGCTTGGACATGTTCTCCGAATGTCGTCCCAGAGAATTCCACGTCGTGCATTATTTGCCGACTCTGGGACTGGTTGGAAGAAGCGGAGAGGTGGTCAGTGCATGACATGGTGTCGTGGCATGAAAGAAAGCTGCAAAGGACTGGCTTGTGTTGGTCCTTCACGACTCCCTGGTTGGGGTGAGATGGTGCTACACAGTGGCTAGAGACGTTATCAGATATGGCTCAGAATAGAAGCCAGTGGCGATCCTGCTGTAACCTTCTTTTACTTTCTTCGTAAAAATTGGTTGTGTCTTCCTTAACTGAACGATTTCTTCTGATTGTACCTTTCCGCTCCCTCATTAGTGCTACACTACCTTACACCAATCTCTTCGTTATTGTTCTCTTTTTTTATGCTCCTTACCTTTTTTTCTCTTCGAATTCTCATTGTTTTGTGTGGCGCATATATATATATATTGGCGCTCTCTTGTACCAATATTTATGTGTCCAAATAAATAAAATAAATAATACCAATTTACTCTAATAGTATGGATCTTAAATTTTCGGAGAATAGATGAATACTTTATATAAAACTGAAATGATTGCATTAATTCTGAAGATAAAGCTGATGTAGCTTAAGTAATCTGAAATCAAATGTATATAACCTCATTCTAAGCAAAGATGGATGATAGATAGTACTGGAATCCAGGAAGTGCGTTTTGTTCTATTTGAAACTCGTCAGCTGGATGTAGATGAATCTCAGAGTTGATGTTCATTCTGGATCGCGAACACAGTACCTCAGTTTGTTTATTTGTTAATCATAGTATCTTAATAGTTAGTAAGAAACTTAGTTAACTTATTCTGTCCAAATAAACATTTTTTTCTTGATCTATAATGATATGAATTTAATTTAAATGTCTTTGATCTTTCTTACGGATACACATAAACATAAAGATCTATAAAAAAGATTGACAATTGATTAAATCACATAACAATTTCATTCTTCTTCTTCTTCTTCTCGAATTCACCTAACATTATGTGCCAATATTATAAGCGATTCATTAAACACATGACAGAAATTCATCACCATAGTTTTAAGATTTATTCTAATCAACATGATCTAAACATCAATTAATATTATTATTTCATAAATTTTTGTTGTTGTTGAAGTATTGATCGATTCAGTGCAATGATTAAAAATGGTTCTTGTTAAAGAAAATATACTATATAAAAATGATTAATCTCTTATGAGTTATGAATGAGAAAATAACGGATCTTTTCTACTGATACATCAATACTGATATAATTTGTAATGGTTTGGATTATCTTATTATAGCGATTTTGTTATGTTCCTTAATTTGAATGCTACTACTGATTCGTCTTACTCGGAACGGAACGAAGAATCAAGGATCCAGAGACTGGATAGGCTTGCTAGGTTTGAAGCTATCACGAGTTCACTTAATCGGCGAACAAGAACAAGACTCGGTGACCAAGGACCAGTAAGCTAGCTATTGATGCGTCCCAGCCCCGTTAACTAGTGGGAAAAGTCCAAGCTTAGGATGGGAAGTATATTCTGCAAATCAGCCAGAAACGAGCGATAACAACAAACACAATACAAAACGTATATATACAGTACAAAAGCGTCCTTGGGGAGAGTTACCAAATAACATACTAAAAGAAGCAACGGACCAATAGCATTTAAGATATTTCCCAGTGGGAAATACGATATGGTGACAGGAGCGCCTTCGGCGCGAAAACAAAGAAATTCAGGTTTTCTAAATAAATTACAAAATTAAGTCCTTTCCCAAGTGAGTTCTGGGGATCTAACGTCCCCAACAGATTTTGAATATTCTTAGTATATATACATGCGGTGCGAATCACCTCCATGTAGCCATTACAACATATGTTTATACTGAGTGGGTGGAATGTGACTAGCAGTGAAATCTAGAAAGTGAGTTTCACCTGATGATATAATACCTCAATTTTGATATTGGTATTTGAAGTGAATGAATATCAACTCTGGAATCCAAGCACATATGACTAACGAATCCTAGATGAGACGAAGCGTACACATTTCACCTGTTCTTTACGATCAATACTGACCATTATTTTTTAGAATTTCCCAATAAATATTTGAATAACTTTTAATTCGATTTCATGGTTGAGAAAAGGCCAAAACTTTAATTCCAAGTAAACTTATGACGTTAAGGAAATCAAGAAAAAATGAATGATTTTCCCCGTTTAGTCATTTTGTCAACTTATTTACATGAGATGTAAACCATAGACAGTAGTCAGTATCACAGCTTGTTGGTGAAAGACTTCAGCGGAATAAATAAATTCATTATTTTCTTAATGGTGGTCTATAGGAATCGTTTTTCAGTCAAATGACTTCATACTTATGCAAAATAATTAAGAAACTATTTCCGATTCCAAAAAAAAAAAAATAATTGATTTTAAACTGATCCCACCTTAACTATTCTATTTATTAGTTTAAACATAAACATCGGTACAAAGGGTGCCAAAATATTTATTCGCCACACAATTCGCGTGCAGGCCGGTTCACAGACCGAAGGAGATAGTTTTCTTAGAAAGTCACTTCGCGAGCCTTTGACCGAGAGGTCTAATCCACAAGGCAGTGAAACATTAGATGAGGTCGCATGGTAGCCAGTGACTAGAAATGGGTTCATACACCATTTTTTATTCCAGAATTCTGGAGTTCATATACACCACTGGTTTCTAGTCAGGATTTTCGGTACCTACCAAACCTGTTTAGGCACCGAAGACCCGATTTTCGTCCACTTAACTTCGTAATGAAATGATCCTTTTGTACTAGCTCTTTAAATCTTGTCATTGATGTTTGGGACTGTGACTGATGGGTCTCTTTTGGCATATGTGCATTCTATGCGGACTACCTCGATATTACCATGATAAACAGAGATGGATGGTGCCTATCAATGGAATCTAGTATGCTCATTCCGTCCCATTTGGTACTTTTCAACAGGATTTACTTGAACCCTGTAGTTAGTGTTTACTCCAGGACTCCAATCTACTACCGTTCGCTTCGAACGCCATCACGTCAGCCAAAAGCAGACTGATGAGTTACAGTCCTAAGCATCAATAGGAATATACAAAAATCCAATGTAAATGAATTAGAATTCACCCCATGGCACGAGCGAGTATCTACTTTGACATACATAATTATCAGGTAGAAAATGCAATGCCGTTTGAAGCGAATGGTACTAGGTTCCAGTCCCAGAGTGAACACCAACACTGGGATGCAAGCAAACCCAGCTGACGAGTCCCAAATGGAACGAAACGCAAGTCCTGGATTCCACTAATAGCCGCCATGTATCTCTGCCTATAATAATTTGTAAATTACTGTTTACGTCAAAACTAAGGTATATACATTTCAGAATCGCTGTACAATAGCTGATTTTGGTCCTTGAGAAAAAATAACCAACACTTTATTTTGACTCCCAGCATTAATTCCTGACCCTATTTTGTTGAATGCATTGTGATCCTAAGGCGATTAGTATCCTCGTCACTGACTCAGTGAAAACGGTTTTCTGTCACGGAAGGAAACAACCGTTGAAGTAGAATTTCACGTGATGTTATTTGCTATAAAATAATAAATGATTTTCTCCTGCAAAACAATGTATAACAATAAGACGCGGAAGAAATCAACATTTATTCTGCATTTATTTCCTTTTATACGTGTGAAATCGTTATGAAACAACACAAGTAATTGTTAAAGAAAAAATTTGTATGAAAAAGTGACATTCAAAAAAATTCTAAACGTATCACAGATATTTAAGTAGAAATATAAGTAGTTTGTAAATACGAAATGATAAAATGATGTAAATGTTGAGGAACATTATCAGAAATCCATTCGTTTTATTACTATTAATATGATTATTAAAGAAGGACCCTCGTTTCTTCATTCTGTAATTATAATTAAATAGAAAAGGTTATAAGAAAATTAAATGTTTAAAGATATACAGTTGAGATTTGAATGGACTTGAAAAGTGTTTCCTTATCATCAGGCAGTATATAATAGTGTAACTTCACTTGTTTTGTAGCATAAATGATTTAATTATGTAGATCTACCTCAAAGTTTTAATAACTTATTGCTTTTTTACCAGGATTAAAAAGTGAGCTTTTGTTTGAACAAGCAAAATCAACCGGTCAAACAGACAGCATTTGAATTACTAGTACAACTAATTTGATAAATCATTTTCAACGACGTACGTCGATGTATATTGGGTTTGTTTGGATCCTCAGTATAATGGAGGTACAACAATGGTAAGACACTAGTAAAAGAGATTAGATGTGATCAAACCTCGAAAATTAATGACAAATGTAGCTAAAATAAATAGCATATGTACAAATCAGTTGGGTCGTATATTTTTTATTTCGTTTAGCGTATGATTACTGACGACCTTTTAACAAAGCTAAAATGATCTTGAAATGTCCACTTAACTACTAGGATTAAATGAGGTTTATATATTAGTGCGGTTGACCTATTAATGTTTTCATCACGAACTGGCATCAGCTATAACACCACAATGGTATATAGCCAAATAAGTGAATGAATTTTGCACCAAAATCCAAGACTTGTGATCTGAAATCTGATTGGTTCATTAATAAATTATAGTCTTGCCGATAGTTCTGTACCTAAAATAACCCCCCTACCAGTGTTCAGTTTCAAGTTCCAAAACCATTTTAATCGCTAACCGAAAACAAAGTCTCTCCGTCAACCAGATCGTACGTATTGGGCTATATTCAACAAGCTGAAAATACGAATTACTAACTCTCATACCTTTGTTATATACAAACATTGCTTCGGCCGCATTGATTTTCTATAATATCAACAAAAAATGATTGAAGCTCCTTCATTTTCATCCTGATAAATTTCTCGTTCTGTTCTGATACTAATTATAGAAACGTCGGATATTCCATATTTGTGTTCATATGATTTATGACTAACAAGCTAACCCTATGTGTTGCGTACGAATAGTCAAAAAAAGTATACTTCTTAAAAAGTTGTACAATAATGAATACAAATGTGTAAACTATTTTATATCAGAAGTTTAAACACAGTAAACATAGAAGTTTTCTAGAAAAACAGTATCAGTAAGAAGTGTTTGAATAATAAGTAAAAAAAATGTACAATCAAGTTAAGGTGCACGTTAAAGTGGTTTTTCATAAAATTGCATAAATAACCTTTATCATATAGATGACTAAAATTTGCATAGAATCAATTTATGTGATCTATGAAATATGGTTCTGTTGTTATCTAGTTTTTAATGATACACACTGACTGACGCAATTTTTGCTTAAAAAAAGGAAAATAAACAACAGGTAATTTATTTTCATCAAAAAATGTTTTCAGAGAAAACAATCGTTTAGACGGCATTATTTACAATGATAAATATATATGTGTGTGTATTATACAAATGTAAATTGGCAATAAAATCTTACTTTCGTTTTGAATTAGTTTGAGTTTCCGGATATTTTTTTAGATCGCACGTAATGCCGATTCCACTGCATCTGAACACACTCTAAAGTGTTCCGATTGAGCTTTTAAAAGTTTTTTCAACTCTTCTTTTTGTGAGTCCTAATTATTGTAAATAGTAGTAGTGTGAGTAGTATTGTTTTTCAATAAATAAGGAAATAGAAAATAAATAGTTAAGTTTTTATAAAACCGATAATCAGAAAAATAATTTTGTTCAGAAATGTATCCAATAAAGTAAGCTAACAATATTAAAACTACTTTGACGGCATAAAACACATCTATTTAGATGAAAAAAGAGAAAAACAATACCCAGACGTTTGTAGTGATTTTATTGGATTCAATACACAGAATACTTGAATTGTTTTCTATGGTCGAATTCACTTTTGTAAAAAGCGTCAATCATGCTTTACGTAACGTAGCTTCAACTGACTCATGATCTCAACCATTGAAAATAAATGTGTTACACAAGCTTATATCAAAACACTACCTCAAAAGATAACAGTGTCTCAGGGGTTTTCGTTATTCATATTTAGAGGATTTGAAATGAATTCTGGGATGGTGGGAAAAATTAATAGCTCAGATGGGTGATTTTTGATGCAGTTTCGTTATCCGAGCTGGATGGATTAATTGTGAAGCTTCCGTTGTTCTTCTGAACGTCATCATCGACACAAATTTCAAATAGAAGTGAGATAGTCGAAATCTTCCCCATATGACTGGTAGCTTGTCCTCACAACCTTGATTTTGACAGGTCATCGTTGATCTTTAACTCGTTGTTGTCTGCATATTTATTTTGAATGTTTCTCCCTTTAACCTGATTCTCGACCCCCTAATTGTCCATCCTTTTTCTGATAAGTTGATAAACTGGTTTGATTAAGAAGTTTTTATTGATTATTGATTAACTTAAGAGTTAAAATGGTGAAACATTTTTGGTCTTAATTATTTCCCCCTACCAAATATCTCGAGACTTTCCCGGTCGAATATGTGCCCGCAATTTTCCATGTGCATTGATACAAGCAAAAATACATCATAACATTTGACGGCTAATTGTTTTTCATGAAGACGACGACAAGCTACCAGTCATATATGAAGAAACCTAAATACCTTATTCTTACCTGAAGTTTAAGCTGATGATGTTGTTCAGGAGAACAATAAGAACTTCTTGATCAAACTATTCAACTCAGAGAACAAAGGATCAGCGAAAAAGTGTATTCCTGTCCTTTTTATGATGCAGTAGATTTTTTATTTTGATTTAGAATTTATTCGACGAATAATTTTAAGCAACAGATTCTAATTATTAAATTCTACATGAATAATATCTTAAACAAGTATGGTTGGCTAACTAACTTTCCTATTTCAATATTACACATTAAACTGGATAATAGTACACAGATGCCATAATACATGATTATTAGAAAGCAAGAAGGTTGGGCGGGGTACTCTGTCAGTGACAGCAAGTAATACATTTTGAATAATAGTCACAACTGTTCAAATCAACTACATCTTAATAACGGTTATGGTTTATTTATTGTCATGGTTTTCAACAATTTCACCCCACGGAAATTGTCAATGGCAGGAAAAATTCTTAACTACTTCAGAATCCTCAATTCATGTATGGTAATAATGACAACATTAATAATAGCCAACAATTTTAAAATGACTGCATATAACTTACAAATTTGTCTATGCTTTCTTGTAAACAACGTCTAGTGGTTTCACACTGAATATTGAATGCTGATTCGGCATCTTTCAACGATTGATCAAATGTCTTCAACAGGAAAAGAATGCATAATCATATGTATAAATTTATGTAGATGAAATAATTTTAAAGATTTGGCATGAAGACTCTAATATCCAAAACGTTTGTGGAGATTTCGGAAAAGTATACAGTTAACATCATAGACTGGTGCCGGATATCAACCTAATGCTTCAACTGTTATATAATTGTTGTGTTATCTGAAAGCCCTGGGTCTAATGAGTCTCATACTAGGATGAAACAGCTATTGAGTACATTCTGGGTTTTTAATAGTTATTCGATTAAGAACAGTCAGTGATGTAAGCTATGCAGTTAAAGATTTGTTAAACTCTCAGACCAGAAGTAAGTGACTTCAAGGACTGATGCCATGTCTTGGTTTGGCCGCCCCTAGTTTCCAACCGTCTGCAACACTAGTCAGCATTGCGCATCGGGGTAATCGATGTCCAGGCATACATAACACGTGGCCCAACCATTTCAGTCAATGACGATTTACAACCCCATTAACTGACTTACCATCATCCACTAATACTCTGTATCTAAACTCACTATTATGTACCCGGTGATCCCAACAGATACTGGCAATACTTCTAAGACATCTATGATCAAATACTAGTAACTTAGGAGTATCTTCGACTCTTAATGGTCACGTTTCACAACCGTGAAGTAGAACAGAACGAACTGCTGCACAATATACTTGTCCTTTAATTTATAGACAGACATTTCGCCTTCACCACAGGTGACGTAAGTTGGCAAAATCCAAACGACCTTTCTGAATCTGTGTTCAGATTTCGTCAGACACCAACCCATTTAGGCTGATCAAACTCCTAAGATAAGTGAAGTTGTCAACGCGTTCAACTACTTCACTCCCTATCTCTAGTTCAGGTGTTGATGCAGACCAGTCCTGAAGCAAGAACTTGCATTTAGAGGAGAAGAGCATCCCAAACGTTCTGGCATTGTTGCTCAGTGCTACCAAAAGACTCTGCATTTTATAAGCGTCTTCACCAAACAGGACTATATCATCTGTCCTCCTGGTAGGACAAAAATGCCAGAAAATTCAGTCGATGGGAACGTTATTTCCAGAAGTAGGTCTATGATTAAGTTAAACAAAAATGGTGAAAGTGGACAGCCTCGACGGACACCACTTGAGGTTGCAAGAGCAGATGACAGTTCGCCATAAGCTCTGACCCGACTACTAGTGTTCGAGTAAAGAGCCCTCATAAGGTTTATGTAATTCTGAGGTACGCCTTTCAATGACAGACACTGCCACAGAATCTCGAGGTCTACAGAGTCAAATGCTGCCTTTTAAGTCGAGAAAGACCACCATTGTCGGACACCGATAAGCATGCCTGTGTTCTAGAGCCTGACAAATGGTGAATATGTGGTCGATGCAGCCACGACCAAGTCTGAAGCCAGCCTGATTTTCTCGTGTTTGTAGTTCACGAGTCTTAGTTATTGATGCTAGCATTTTAGATGCAATGTTAGTCAAACTAATCCCTCTATGGTTGTTACAAAATGATTTTGATCCTTTCTTATATATTGGGACGATAAGTGATTGTGACCAGTCAGATAGGATTACGTCCAACTCCCAACAGCACTCAAGACCACCGGTCATTTTATATGTACGTACGTTTTCAAAGTTTACATCATGAGCTGATCCTAGCTGAACAACCATCGAAAACCAGGCAACACTGAGCAGCTGTTTTGTCTTAGTGTAGAGCTCCACAGTAAATCTCATCTATGCCCCTACTACAGGGGATCGAACCTAGGACCTTCGGATTCCGCGGCGATCGATTAACCTATGGGAAACCGAGTCCGTATCCAATGATGTGCATTTATAACTTTGACCAATTCACGATATTTCGCTACCACCTTTCGTTGCCTGAGATGAATAAATATCTTATACACTACAAGGCCGAGCTCAGTAGTAAGCACATGAGCATCGTTGGTATAAAGCATAAGTTTGTGACGCAATCTATAAAAATTCAATAATTTCTATAAACCCCCAGCAATGTTGAGTACACCTTACCAAACATTCGTTGCTATGAACAGATAATAGTCATATTGTGGTGTACGGTACTTATGTTGACAGTAGTATGTAGCCTCAATCGGAAGTCAAATGCCTGTCGACAGAAGACTGAATTGAAGAGAACAGGAAGGGAAACAAAGTACAATTGTAATAACAACAGAATTGAAGGAATCATGAAGCATGTAAATGATAACTCAAGGAAGGTGTGCAAGTAACGTATTTAATGTATGGTTTGCATATTTTAGTAAAGCAGTTTGATTTGCCTATCTCAGTTCACGTTCACTTCAACATCACAAAACGACCAATAAAAACAATGCAAACATTATGTTCTTTTCAACATTTTCCCCAATACTACATCTAACTTAATACGATTACTTATTATTTATTTTAGTTAGATGAGCGAAATAAACTATTTGTTTAAAAAATGGTACACTAGTAGACAAATTAAATTCACAACACAAAAACTTTAAAGAAAGACACAAGCCTTACATGTTGTTTGTTATCTTTTGCACGTTTCTTTGATGTTTTAATACGATCTAAATCCAATCGAGCATTTTCCAATTTTTCTCGTTCTTGCTGCAAATACCCATCAAAAAGAAAACAAATCTAGTCATATACAGAAACAAGGCATCGAAAATGAAGAACTCTTTAAAGCGAAATAGAAAAACTATGGATTTACCACTTGGCCCTCTTCTAGCGTATTTTTTATGGTCATTGTTGAGCATACCGTACTTCAACCAAATACGAATGGCTTTCATATACACAAAAGATATATAAATGACACTGCTCATTTGTGATGAAAATGGTGACCTAATTGTCATCTTGGATAGGTAAAATAGTTGTCATCAGTTAATTAAATTTACATTTGGCTTAGACGAATTTAGAATTTCACTTTGATTTCTTATTAAGAGGAAAATCAGATGGTATAGTGCAACCTGAAATGGCTAATATATGAATTTTCATAGCTGGGCTCCATTAAAAAGGAAGAGAAATTTATTTCAATGTTTATCCTTAAAAGCTTGGCAAATATGTTCCGAAAACATATGGCTATCCATCTAGATCCATCGAAAAAAAAAACATGAAACCAAAATTAGTCTAGAAAACCTGCAACAGTTAATAAAGGTATTCTTTCCATGAGCATTGAGTTTAAGGGGAATACTACTGCAAAATTTTGAAGAGCTATTATCACTTTCACGTTTTATCGAATTTAATCATCACCTTTCTCATATTCGACAAGTGAAAAGTTATCTTCCATAAATTCGGATTCATCTTAATACCATTCTTTAAATTGTCTGTTGTTATACAATTTTCTTTCGATGCCTGAAACTACGTAATCCTCTGTCTGTTTTTTAAAAGACTATTTATTAATTAACTGTAAATACAACTGTATAGCCTGCGTACACGATATGATCGAGAAAAAAATTTCTTTTCTGAATTGACTTTAATTTTTGTTTGACAGAAAATCCAATGATGATTTGGACATACAGTGTATTTTCTCCTAACAAATCTAATCACAAAATTTATGGACAAAAGTAACAAGTGTATTTGCAGTATAAATTCTCCAGAAAATAAATCTTTAAAAGTACATCAACTGATATAGTACATGAAGTGTACCCATATGGTACCAAAACTTGTGATTATTAGGAATGAAGTGCATCAAATTCAGAATTTTCAGTTGAAACCACAAGTCGATCTAAGCTAGACAACCATTGGAAACCTGGAAGCACTGGATAGCCGTTTCATCCGAGCACAGGACTCCTCGGCAGTGTGTTTATACGACTCCACACCAGGAAGTCGGACCCAGGACCTTCGGCCCCGAGCACGAACGCCTAACCTCTAAACTACTGAGCCAACGTTCGACGGTGTTAATATCTACCTTCAATTAATCTGTGACCTTGCGCAACGCTTCATCCATTGCCTAAGGTGGATATCCGTTTTGTAGCCGATATGGATTGAACTTCATTGGTCACGGCCTCTCACTAGAACTCCAGGAGTTACATCTTGGAACTAATAACTAATGAGAACATGATTGTCATCAGTATTTGCAATTCAACAATCTTCACAAACTCATTGTGATAGTACAGTGTTAAATGCTAGGTTGTTATTAACTAATTGTGTTCAGCGTTCCATTCTAACTACTTTTCGGCTTTCGACTTAAGAGAAAATACGATCATGTCAAAAATTATTTGTGAATAGACAGTAGAATATTATTCAATAGTTTTGCTGAAATTCAACGAATGCTTTTCACAAATAGGAACATAAATTATTATGCAACCAAACATTACATGTTAGTCATCCAATTAAATATACACAAATAGAGTGAAATGAGTGTTAAATTTAAAAACAGAAAGCATGTTTATACAGGCAAGTGCATTAAAGAAACAACTTGATATTAATGCCAATTATAAGAAAAGTACTTGTTTGAACATGAATTTATAATGTAGAAAAAAGTAAGAGAAAGCAGCAAAAGATAAAAAACAGTTGACTTACTTATCAAAATATTGATAATCAGAAAAAATTAATATGATATTTTAAAAAAAGTTACTTTTGCTAATTTGGCTTCAGATGCTATGTAAGAGCGTAACCATTTAATGTATTCTGAAGTGACAGTTTCTTGCAATTTTCTTTCAGATTGTCCAATTTCCATTTGAGCCATTGCACATTTCTTAAGTGCATCACCCGATGAACCTAGAAACAAAGTTTTATTCCAGTCATTTTATATATATAATTGCATATTTGTATCTCTTCTATGTTGTCTAGGATTGATCAAAAAAACTGTTCTGCTATGGCTTATTCCTAAAAATTTAACATTTTCTCATACAGTATGAAATGAAATTAAGTGAAAAATCATTAGAAATCCAACAAAGTTCAATGACCATTGATGTTCATAACTTAGAATAGATTCTATTATTGGTGAACACTGTTTTACGAAAAGTGAACTTAAATTGATTCCAATTATCATGATGATTGCAAGTTTTAATTTCAACTGAGAATTTTAAGCTCTACGTATGGTGGTTCTTTAGTATTTATCTTCTTGATGATCATCATCCAGCTATTTGTTTCTTACTGTATTGTTACCAAATATATCGGCATAGATTTCAAGATAATATTGTTATGTAAAATGTAATTGCACATCGGAAGTTATTTTACGTCGATATACATATATATTGTCATTAGATCATGTTTTCTGGCTGCCAACAAATACACTTTATTTCGAGAATTATCTTAATGAATACTAAAAAGTCGGACAGAAGTATAACTGATTCAAACAAATACACATGAACAATTATTTTCTACCTTGTTTTGACCTTGTTCATTTAGTTCGTTCCGTTTGAAAGAGTAAGATTGATAATGTACAAATAATATGATAACGACTAATCAAAGACAGACTTGTAAACCACTGGATATCTACTCAGTGGTCTACAGTTTGGGCGTTCACGCGCGAAACCGATAGCCTTGAATTCGATTCCTGGTTATGAGGTTATGGATGTGCACTGCTGGCGAGTCATATACTACGCCCAAACAGCCGTTGAACGCCTCCAAGTTTTTAATAGTTGTCTAACTTAGAGTGGTTAGTGATTTCAACAAAAAAACATTACGAATTCTACGTCTTACCTGACAATGTAAAGGTGTGCCTTACAACTGAGAAACATATGTTTGAATTTTTTACACAGATAACAAAGAAAACAAGATTTTCTGTATGTACTGGTATTCATCCAACTAGTGATTTATTGAGTTCATGTCTTATTCACAAGAACAAACCCGGTAAACTTTCAACTATTTGTTATACTCGTGACCGCCGATTAGAGAGCAGTGACTTATCGATCGGATCAATGACGCGAAAACCCGTATGAGCAGCCAAGAGTCCTGATTGGTCCCGATTTCTACCTAGCTCAGCCAGCTAAGTCCAGAACACCAATCCGAGCCTCTGCGATATGAATCATGTATTTCAAACATACTCGGTTTATATACCAATCAGACAGACCACATCATACCAATAAAATATGAAACAACATTTGTACAAGAATTAGCGAGATGTGGTTGTGAATGAGGGAGGTAGTAATTAATATACTGGGTATAACTCAAGAAAGTATCAAAGAATTATAAAGTAGTGAAGTAAATGAATATTTGTATGTCATCAGATGTGAAAATTCCAGACAGAGATGCTTCTAGAGAATACAAACTAATGTCGAAGTTACTTTATAGTAGCCATAAAACTGATTATATTAACAGAGTAACATAAGTAAAGATAAAAAAAATAGCCCATGACTGAAAGAAAGTAATTTTTATAGGATAAAAATACTGAGCAGTTGAATGTTGAAAACTAGAAGTTACCACGGTTGTTAGAGACTAAGTAGTTATCTTCTTTCGAATACATAGGCTCAACTTCAAATTTTTAGCAGCGATGGTATTAACGGAACGTAGTAAACTAGAATTTCTTTGATTATTGGTTATTTTAAACGATTTTAAAGTACCGAACCCGTTTCCATTATCGAGCAGATGGTGAACAATAACATTGTTGAAAATACGTTGGCTTTTTCATCCTTTATGGAATGTGCTTCGAGATACAAACAAGAAGCCTCCTTTCCGTTCCTCCAATAAAAATGTTTTGGCGTGAACATGTAAACTGATAAATACAACTGGAGGTAATATGGGGTGCAAATTTGCCTACTGTTTCTATTTTAATGAGCAACACAACAAAATTAGTTTAGCGAATGGATACGTCGTTTTTGGTGCAACATTTTGTCAAGAATAAATCATGCTAATTATTTCATCAACTTTGATGCTGGCTTTCTCCCAACATTAGCGAATTCTATTCACTTACTTCTTGTTTTACCGTACTTATAACTCCTCCATAACTATTGTCGTCATTATACTAATCTTTATTATTATGATTGTTATTGGTGTTTCTAGATTATAAGCTGACGAAAACTCCACGAAATAAATAAATTCATCTTATTCAGTTTCACTTGCTTGAGTTGGTTAACTAATGAACAATGTAATCTAAGATCTTTTCATCCACTTTACAGTTATTTATGTAAAGAAGTAACCAACATATTTTTTAACATAGATGCGACACTATGGTCAGCACGAAGACTTCATTTGAAACAAATTTATAAATTCTACCGTGTAGCTAATTAAGAAGAAATAATAAACTATGAAAACTACTTTTTGGGACATTGTATGTTTAATTATTAGACTATAACTATTAACATCCAGTTTATGTAACTGAGATGGTGGAGAAAATTTGTAGCTCATGTGGATGATTTTATGTTTATGTAACTCCCCTACTCCCTTAATTATAAGCTTTCATTTAATCTATAAACTATAGTCATATATTTTATCCCAAATTTATTGTAATTTGAACACGCGTCCTATGTCTATTTTTATACTCCAAATACCTTAATTTGACATATATTGTATTTTCTCATTTATAGTGAGTTCTGGTCCCATTGTTTATTTATTTATTTATGTACCCTTATGTTAAAAAGAATTTGTGTGTTGATGTTTCTGTCAGTCAGTTTTTCTCAAGTCCTGCTAAACAGTCACCGCCCGCATAGCAGAGCAATCGTCAGTGAATAGGATAGTTCTCTATCCTCAAGGCTAATTAGTCACAAATCGAGCCCACACATTCTCAGTCTCAAGGTTATATTGAATAGCCTAGACCATCAAGACCGTTAGCTAGCTCCGCGACTAACTTCCCCGCATATTTAACTACAAGAACAGTTGGTAGATCAGATCCATGAGTATATATATCATGTCGATTCCGATTTTATAATTAACCAATACTTTGTTCGTTATGCTGACTGTAGTTTAGGTTCTTTGTCGTTAGTGGGAATATTAACTCAATACTTACAAGAATACTTACAAACTTAATGGCCAGCGTAAACGGGAACTGGACGGACTTGACCATTCGGAAAATATAAATTATTACATTAAATGTCTTTTCAGTTTATCTCAAGTTGCATAAAATAGGAAATACCATTGCTGAAGAGTAATAAATATGATTTTAGAGTTTTGTATGTGAATATGGTGTGAAGCTGTGCCATCAGAATTATTAATAATAGGGTCAAAAAGTAAGATTACATTTAACGAAATATACTCATTAGACTAAATCTCACCTGCAACGATAGATACTTAGGTATATAGCCGAGTCCAGTGAATGTGATACCATAAACACTGGGGTGACATTATATTCAATAAATATATACCTAGCAGAAAACGGTTTAGACTCTAGATTGATTACAGAAACTAGAAAAGTCTATCTTATGCACACAAGTCTTGTACTGGACTAAGAAATGTAGTTCACAGATTATAATTTCTACAGAATAATCATCACTGAACCAGAGAAAAGGAAACTATAGAAATGCTCAACAATAAGCAGAAAAATGGACTTAAGGGTACATTATACCTAAGTAACGGATAAAATAGCTTGTATAACTGCATGCGATAAGGACTTTCACATATAATAAGTACTCTTACTCGGCCCGAACGTTTCTGTTACCTTGACATGGTGGCCGGGATGACCTATCGTAATGAACCAGTCGAGCTATACAGACTGGAACAATCGTTCCTCAAGGTCCTACCATGCCAGACAGGTCGGTTGAAGATCGGCAAGACCAAAAGCGGCAAACTCAAGATCTGAGGTGGAAGTCGTACTGCTGACTGTACAGAGGTGTGACAGCAGTAAGGTATTTCCTTCAGACAACTAACATAACAGCGATGCTGCCTTCACGCAAAAAGGGTGGGTTAAAAAATGTCGACCCTTAAAATGCACACCTCACCTTATCCTATGGGTTTCCGTCTCCGGCGCTAAGTTCTCAGCAAGTATGGAGCTGACACGAAAACTACTCACAAAAAGGCCGTGTGTGACCGACCTCAGACAGTTGCCCCTTGGGCACTGCGGTCAAGCTCTCGGGTCACAAAGACCACCCCTAACCCCATTTCCTTTCCAGGTACCTCCACAACAACCCTTCCATGGTGAGGTCAACCAGAAATTGAAAACGTCCTCATACCTCTAACAGCACTCAAGATCACTGCATTCATAATCAATCTCCCTCTTGAATCCCTAAATATTCCTCCCATCTCGACTTTCAACTCTAAATTTCCTCTTTCAAATTCCTCCTCAAGTGTTACCACAGCCAACGATTCTGGTGCGCAAAACACTGTCCTAGATCTACTGAAACCACGCTCCAAACTACACATTGGAGACTTTAACGTACTCACCCTATGCCAAATCGGCCAGCAGGAATTCCTGGCTAAAACCCTGGAATCTCGTACCATTGATGTACGTTGTGTCTCTGAAACACGCATACAGGATCCTAGTGTAGTCATTCACTTGACCTCACCTCGGAAAAACGGAGAGCCGACGAGATACACCCTCTGTTTATTTGACGACCTGATGGTTAGTTCTCGCGGACTGGCGATTGTAGGTATGGCACTAAGTACGAGGGCAGAACAAGCTCTATTAAAATGGATCCTCGTTAACAGTCGTCTATGTGCTGTTTGGCTAAATGGCTCCATAAGAACTCGAAAGGATAGGGACACACGTCGTTGCCTTTTCGTCGTCTCTGCCTACGCTCCCGCTGACTGCAGCCCGGATGAAGTGAAAGATGACTTTTATTGAAAGCTTTCTGAACTTCTGCAAAAAGTTAAACGCACAGACATAGTACTCGTAGTAGGTGACTTTAAAGCCTAGGTGGGTAGCTTAAACCAAACAGAAAGATATTTAGGTAGATATTTTAGTATTCCGGCTCATTAAACAGATGATGGTGACTGTCTATTGCAACTGTGTTCGAACAATCGTTTATTTTTAGCAAGCATTAATTTTAAACATAAGGAGAGACATCATCTAACATGGCGACCGCCTGCATCAAACCGATCATAGACTCAAATAGACCATATTGCCGTCAGTCATCGTTAGAGAGGCTCGATAGAAGACTGTCGCTCGTTCTGGAATGCCTGTTTGCAATCCGATCATGCTCTAATACGGACACGCGTTTGCTTGCACCTCACTGAACACAGGAAAACCACATTAAGAAGACCCATTAGAGTTGAACTCGGTGACGAGAAAACCAAAAGTAGATTCCAGGAAAACCTGAGGTCACACTTAGGTAGTTCTGAAAAAGAGGCTGACCCAGATGTTGCTTGGAAACATATACAAACAGTAGAGAACTGTCATCTGATTTTGCAACCTCAAGTGGTGGCCGTCAAGGCTGTTCACTATTTGCATTTCTGTTTAATTTCACCATAGACCTACTGCTGGAAATAACGTCCTCGTCGACTAAATTTTCAGGAATTGATCACCTTTCAGAGTTTTGGTAGCACTGAGCAACCATAACCGGATGTTTGAGATGCGTTTCTCTTTTGACATGATTATTGAAATGCCTAGATGAATGGTTGTGCATTATATCGTATCAATCCAAATTATATAAAAATATACTAACATACGTATTAACCTATGACTTTCAAATAAGATTTATTTTCTCGACAATGAGATCTCTCTGGTACACCAAAAACAATACTAGGCCATCGTTTAAGTTATATTTTTAAATCAAACAAGTTTGGTTTGGATACCTTAATACCATAATCATTGAAGGGCTAGTTACGTCATTTATCGACTTACCATATTGTGAGTTTTTATTAATTAGGCTACTAATACGATCCATACTTTCACCTAACTGTTCATTAGCACTCAGGCGAACTTTCTCTCTATTCATTCCTCTAAGTATAAGATCTTCAATTCGTAGGGCTATGGAAAAAAATTAGGAAAATCAACTGTTAAATAGATATCCTATTTTAAAAAGAATTAAGATTACTGTATTTTAGGCATTTTCAATTACAATAAATAACTTAGCTGACCAATGGAAAACAGAATGTAAATAGTTATCAAGTTTATGTATTATGTGAATAATTTTTGTAAAGAATAACGTGCTTGAATCAAGAAACATTCACTCAACTTCATAAGGTATTTCATTTATTTTTTTGTTTTAAAGATACACTAATACTTTACTTTTGTTGTAATTATAATGAAACTCCTCATATATTAATTATTTTCGATTGTTTTCATTGAAAAATAACTTAAAGCTTTTTTCGCGTTTCTGATACCGATTCAATTTAGAACGTTCTCTCTTTTAAAATCAACGCTTTTTAGCAACTAGATTTGCGATAGCATTTTGGAAAAAGACCTAAACATAGACTATAGTTAACCAAAGGATAAATATTTTGATGAAAGAGTACTACACAAAATTAATTTTAACTTTGCAAAAGTAGAATAATAATGATAACACACGTCAGAACAGTACACGTTTCAGTAAATATATTTTTAAGCTTGTATATTATCAATTATACGATTATACTTGTAATACTTTGATAAGATTGGAAGAATATTTTTCCAAACAGCATAATTTAAAGCCAGAGAGATATGCTATTGTTTTACCTGGATACATTATTTAAGAGTCTTACAATAAATCACCATCTTTTACACGAAATTATGCTATTGTAGTAATTATTCTATTCACTGATGACCTCGATAGCAACGAAACATTGTCTTTATTGGTGTTACCGTTGTAAAAAAAAAGAGTTCTGATAATAAAGTGTCTCACACGTCAGGAAAAATTAAGCTAAATTTATTATTATATTATTGTTCTACAAGTGTTCCGTTTTAATGAACCTTTTAGAACAATTCAGGATAATTTTTTGATAAAACGTTGTTTGTTTAACAAAGTAAAACACATAGTTTCTAGAAATTGGGTGTGTCGAGCTCATAGCAATTTCTTGAAGACTTTTTAATAATCTATCAAGTTGAACTTGACATGTGTTTTTATTTTCAGACAACAGTCTATCGGACACTTCCATACATAATTTTCTTCCCAGATATTATCTATAAAAGATAAATTCTTAATCTAGTGACCTTGACTTGCAATTCAAAAGCTGAGAAAAAATTTTAAAAGCCATTTTTATGCCTTTTAAGGAGAATGTCTAAGGACACTTCTTGTTTCATAACTGCTTGAATATCAAGCCAGGCAATCTACATCTTGCCACAAATAAACTAACAAACAGTTGACGGTCTTTTCTTCTTCCAAAATTATTTTCGACAATTCCACAACTTAAGGAATTACACCACTTTAGCTCTCACTTGCCTTACTTTTTCATAAATGCTACTGTCAACAATTACGTAATATGTAATTATTTTAACCAAACGTATTCTAAATATTTAATCAGTATCTTAATCTTAAAACAGACTTTGAAGGAAATAAGACCCTCTGTCCCCAAATATTATTAATTTTAGGAAGTATAATATATGTCTGGCTTATGAATACGTTCCTAAACATTTTCTGTAGCCTTTACAATATTACTGTAGAGACTTCTCGATAGAATGAAATTACGAGACGATGATCTAAATGACATATGGTTCTTATTTGAATGGATGTGGACATTTTTTAGGGAAGCTATACAAGGAAAAATATCTTACATTCGCCTCGTTAGTGATGACACGATTTACTTGAGTTTACGTTGAAGAAAGGAACAATTGAGGAATTCTGAATTTATCGTACTTTGCGTGAAATCTGCACAAAAAATGTACAGTTTTGGCACTTTAACCTAGATGAATGGAGAAGATTTTAGTTCTAACACTGGCATGTGTTCATTATATAAATAACAATAAAAGTTTGCATGTAAATACTAGGCAGTCAGTGAGAAATCACGCTATGTAGGGGCATGTGGGTCAGATTCACTGTGTGCTCGAACAAACAATAAAATTGTGAAATGAATTTCGGAGAAAACTAGCGGTTTTCTCCCACGTTTTACATACTGTTTGGCCACAAATATATGTTCTCTCCGAGTTTTCGCAAGCAGTAATGGAATCCTAATATCTCTGAAAACAATACCTGGATTCGGTTGAATCACATTTTCAAGTTGTTCCAAAATGCTCACTGCCCAGTTTCTCCGTTTTTCACCTTCTTTCATCAACTCAGCTAGATCAGGACTGTAAGTTGTTCGTTCAGTAGTACCAAATGCCTCTTCAACAATCTATCATCAGACTTTGATAACCAACTAGAAAACTTTGAACCTGCGAAAATCGGCCAAAAAATGTGTTTGTATCATTCTGTATTTTCTTAGTATCCATGACCACCAAACAGTGATTACAAAGTAAACTTTTGATAAGTGCGCTTTGCAAGTTAAAAATGTGCAGATAGACTAAAAAAACATTTTTCAATCTAGAACACTCATCTAATGGGAATAACGGACAAATCATTCATCTTCTCGAGCCACTTTATAGGAATAAGATATTATGTTTCAGACTGATAGAGTTTCAAGTCGCAAAGGGGGAGGTATAATATTATACGTTGGGGATCACTTTCGTATACAATCAACCATATCGGAGGCTCATATCTATCAGTGGCACATGTGAGGTTGCATGTTGTAAGATTAAATCTAGAAATGGGTTAGTGACTATAGGGGGAATATACCGTAGTCCGTCTTGTCTTGCTGACGACTTTATCCTATGACACATCTGTTCTTGGAGTATGGCAGAATGTTGTCTCATCATTGGGGACTTCAACGCACCGCATATCAGCCGAATAGAGCTTACAGCTCCAGGTAGTGGTTTCGATAGCGACCTTTTATCTACCGTTATTCAGTGTGCACTTGTACAATGTATCACAAAACCGACACATATTGATTTGCAACATGTTCCGTCACTGCTGGACCTCGCCCTCACCCACCACTCTGAGGATGTCTTTGATATCCAGCACCTTCCTCCACCAGTGAACAGTGATCACGTTGTAATTCACTTTAAGTTTAGGACACATGGTATACAATTCGTATCTGCTCCACCCCGTCCCAATATCTGGCGAGCCAATATTCCGGAAATCAGAAACTGTGTTATCTCGACTGATTGGTCGGTCGATGCGGATGGATTGATCAAAGATGAATGGAATAAGTTTAAGGCTACATTCGAGTCCGTAACGTCGCCGTTCATCCCATGGTCAGCACGTAAGCTATCACATTACCCTCCATGGATTAACAAGGAAACCCGGAAGCTGTTAAAGCGTAGGAAACATTTCTGGGACTTATTCTTGTTGACAGGTCATGCACCATTTAAGCGTGAGTACCAAAAATACCGTAATATCTGTAAGAAAACCATAGCGAAATCCCGTACCACTTACGAACGACAGTTAGTATATGATAGCCGTACTTGTCCGAAACGATTGTTTTCGTATGTTAAACGGCAAATGAAACGTAGTGATGGTATTCCCCCGTTGCTGTTACACGAAAATTCAGAATTACTAGCTGAATCAGATCGAGCAAAAGCTGAGACTTTTTCAGATTATTTTAGCGAAGTCTTCTCTACGTTTATTGTAACAAATACTTGTCCCACTCACACCGAGATACCAACCATGGAATCTGTACAGGTGACTGAGGAAACTGTCCTTCCGTTGATAACTAACCTCAAACCTGGTAAGATACCGGGCCCTGACGGGTTACATCCACGGTTGCTGTCATCTCTTGCGGACATTATTTCAAAACCGCTTGCGACACTCTTCAACATGTCCCTCTCACTCGCTCAACTCCCTAGAGATTGGAAGGACGCTATAGTTAGTCCTATATTTAAGGACGGTCAGCGACAGATAGTATCTAACTACCGGCCTGTCAGTCTAACTAGCATAGTCGTTAAGTTACTCGAAAAGATAATTCGGGTTAGGTTGCTAAGCCACATAGATTTACACAATCTGTTAGCTCCTGAGCAACACGGATTTCGTAACAAGCGTTCATGCTTGACTAACTTGCTTATTGCGAGGGAGGATTGGACAGCAGCCCTAGATAACGGTCTGTCTGTCGACGTGATATTCATAGATTTTAGCAAAGCGTTTGACAAGGTTTCACACGTAGGTCTTATGCAGAAGCTCACGAGCTTCGGAATAATAGGTACTGTACATGAGTGGATAGGAAATTTCTTATGTGACCGCAGACAGAGAGTTAGGGTCAATGGAACGCTATCCGATCGGAAGCCGGTCAAAAGTGGTGTACCCCAAGGCACCATCTTAGGCCCTCTGCTCTTCCTTCTCTACGTTAATGAGTTACCGCTGTTACTTAGGTCGTCGACATTATTGTTTGCGGATGATGTAAAAATCTGGAGAACAATAAAAAGTGCGGCTGATCATGTGGATCTTCAAGCTGACTTAGACGATTTAGTTAGATGGGCTCGAGAGTGAGGCTTAGAAATCAATGCTAGGAAGAGTGTACTAATGCACGTCGGTCACGGTAATAGTTACCGTTACACTATTGAGGGTAAACCTCTTCCATGCGTTCAAGAGCATAAGGACTTAGGAGTAATATTAAGTCATGATTTAAAAACAGCTGCGCATTGCAAAGCAGCCGCTGTCAAAGGTTTTCGTGCGTTATGGTCACTTCGCCGAGAGTTCAAATCTTTTGACGAGGAAACGTTTCGAATTTTATATCCCACCTATGTTAGACCACATTTAGAGTACTGTATCCAAGCAGCTAGCCCGTGTCTGGTAAAGGATACCAACTCCCTTGAGCGTGTCCAGCGTGTGGGAACGAAATTAGTGAAGGGTCTTTCTAGACTCCCTTACGATGAGCGTTTAAAACGCCTAAATCTTTTCCCCTTGTCGTATCGTAGGACACGAGGTGACCTTATACTGGCATTTCGTATCTTTAATTATGATTTGGGTGTTAATATGTCTTATCTTTTTGCTCCCTCCAGCACTAATAATCTCCGAGGTCATAGCAAGAAGGTTCATAAACCACGATCTAATAAACTTAAAGTGGGATCCCGTTTTTCTCATCGAGTAGTCAATCATTGGAACGCCTTACCCGAACAAGTGGTATCAGCCCCATCAGTGAATACTTTCAAGGAAAAGCTGGATCTTCACTGGAAAGCAATGTGTCAGGATTAACACAGGTTCATCAACCTACTATCCTTATTACTGAAGACTGACTTTTGGGACCTCCAGAAATAAATTTAATAATCAATATGTTTGTCATGATCTGTAAACCGGTTAATTTCTTTGAGTTTGTTTCTTATTGTTTGGCTGCCGTTTCACATATTTGGCGGAGTTTGTGAATAAAAAAGTATATTCACTAACCAAGATAAATCCACCACACCTGACGTACTATAGATCATTAAGAATCTGAAAAAAATGCAACCCTCTTTTGCACAATTCAGCCCTAGATCCTGATTGCTTCTCATTTTTGACTTATTTGTCTAATTTATATCGATTTTTGTAAAACTGGGTCGCACAGTTAATCATGGCCACACTAATAGGGAAATCGAATTATGTAAAGTAAGAGGAACGATGGAGGACATAATTCGAAATTAGTAATTAGGTAAAATTAAGTAAAAATACGTGGTATATTATAGGTGAAACAGTTCCTTCAAAATGCAACTAGAAAGAACTCTTTCATCTGATTAGCTATCCACAACTGCCAAACCAGAACTAGTGAATTAACGATCTGACAGAAATCCGCATTTTCAGCAACTACAGCAGGTTCATTTACTGTTTCAGTAATACTACTCGATGTAAGTTAATACCTTTTTTGTCACATATACTCTCTGGTTTTGGATTCCAACCACAGACCGCTGATCCCACACCAGACAGTTATGAACGGGGTCACAATAATATGGTACAGGCTCCCAGAAAACGGAATGTTGGCACGACCAAAGAAGGGTTACGGTTCACCATCTCATTTCCCTTGACACTTTTAACAAAAAAGGATGATGTCAATTTTCTTTGGTGAATCGACCATGTTACTACTCTTGTGTTTATCGGAACTGGCCCGCAAACACAGAAAAGTCAGGGCGAACACAAGCAAATCACACACAGACGAGAGCAATAAAACTTCACATTCGGCTACCTACGAGAGGCGGGTAGGGGTTACACTAGTACGCCTAACTTCTATCCTTATCAATTGTTCAAAGACACTAACTCCTGGGATAGGGTTTGGTCAATTAATATGTGCTCTTCATAGCCTAACTTACTAGTTTCACAGCTACATGTCGGCAGCTCAGTACATATTATCCCACACTTCCACCAACCTAGAAGGCACTCAATTCCTCCATCCTTTACTGATCGTATTCACTCAATTCTTCATTAACATTGCGTAACCTCATTTAACCACCACTATCTGACCACACTACTAGAGATTGAAGCTATCAACTCTTGTAATCAGCAGCTAGTGAATGCACTTTGTTCATAAACGATGAAACTAGATACAACTTGTTAGGGGATTGTCATAGAATAGTTGTGGCTGCGCTATGCCACAAACCCAATGATAGCCCAGGACTGAAAACAAATCAGACCAAATAATACTGAAGCAACAACTAATTAATTAAACAATTAATTTATTAAATAAACAACAACTAAAAAGCTTCCCCCATTTTGTTGTCTAGTCATTAGATTTGGTCGATCACACACTGTTAGCAACGCCACTCAAGTGATTTATGGGACAACAAGATGACTTGGAAGCAAAATTAATATAATGTAGAAGAATATGCCGTAATATATGTACATGATTATGTACAACAGCTCGTCGTTTCATGCGTCATCATACCTGATGGAGCACCAAATCATTCTAAACCGCATTGTACTCTATCATACTATGAAATATCTCATTAAGTGGAAGGGTCACTTACATCTTTACCAAAGCGGTTCACTACAATATCTCTGTACTTACAATATTCCTCGGCTAATTTATTTGATAACATTATTGACATGAGCAACTGAAGGGTGATCTTATCCGCAACGCAACCAATGTAAACTTAATGTATCGCACACTGTCGTTTGTGCGTTCAAGTAACCACATATTTTGTCATTTCATAATGTATTTTCAATTAAATAACTAGATTATGTAGTTAATTTTTCTCTGTTTTTAATTTTTATTTGCCACGTCTGACTGCGTTACACTGTACGTCCATTGCACGCTGAGATGATATCTCAAGTCATAGTGATTTTATTCACATAGTTGATTGTTTCCAGATAGACTGTCAGTGCATGATTTTACTGAAGAAAGGTTTGTTGTACTGTAAACTGTGTTTCTATGATCAACTCCCTGTTGTCTTCAGTATGAATTCATACTGAATACTGCTTTAAAGCAGTATATATGTATCCTTCTTTTTTTCTTAGGTAAGTTCAACTGGCCTATATTTCGTGTTTTGATTTTATCGGCTTAATTATGTCCATTTACCTACTATGAGCAACATGTCTTTGTAAGTGAAACAATAACTATGACACTTGCTTAGTTTAGTGTTCTTGGTTGTCGTATAATTCAGTTTAGTTGAAAGAATTATGATATACTTAAGTATAGTGCTTGAAGCCTGTAACGA